AGGTGAAAAGGAAGAATGTGTCATCTGTAGCTGAAGGTAAGAAAGTAAAAAGCCAGAGTCAGAGCAGAGGTGAGCGTGGTGTGGGATTGATGGGAGAGGGAGGTGGGTAGAGCCAGTGGTCCAAATGGAAGTGGGGATGCACATGTTTAGAGATGGACCAGAAAGGGGGTGGCAGGGCTGATAGCAGGGAGAGTGTGAACGGCACAGTTGCTTTACTCATGCTTTTTAAACAGCTTGCTGTACTAAATGTTGTGTGCATGTTGGAGGTAGGGCATAGGGGATTCCAAGGTCAAAAGACTGACCAGACACATGGCTCTGTAACAGAAACAGTCGTCTCCTTCCATATGGACAACTCACCTGTGCTTTTTATATCTCAGCTTGTTAGTTGTTTCCTGCAATGTAACTTCAGTACTAGTTCTGGCCTCCCCTCATATGCTCAGTGCATGTCAAATAGATGTTCTTGGGGCCTGTTGTCACCTTACTTATCTGAAGCTCTCACCAATTTGCCAGTTGCTCTGCGCAATAAGTTCAAAGTCTTTGTTCTTACTCTTAGCGTCCCACTGGGTTCTGCTGCCCCAAATCCCTGCTGGTCATAGCAGAATTAAATGACCTGTTTGTTTTTTTTTTCATTTCAGCAGAAGTCTTTATGTCCTTCACTGTAAAATCAACCACTTCCTTGTTTCCAAACTGAATATTTTCCAGCCTAGTTGGTGGTTTCTTCAGTGTCTTTTCCAGGGAATCTCTCTGTAGACACATTAAAAGCTTTCAGTAGAGTATATTTTGATGTTGGAGTGACATTTTGATGTTGGGGTGACACTTTGCTGCTTGCCTTCTGCCTTTTTTTTTTGTGCATGGAGGTGATGGGACTCTAATACCAAAGAAAGCCTAGGAATAATTAGGTGCTAATAACTTCAGTGCTCACTCACGAGCGAGTGTTGTCTGCAGTGAGAATTCCCCTTTTCTGCTGAGCGATGTGTCTGTGAAGCTTGCAGTGTTGCTGTACACCCAGCAGATGTGGGGATTTGGTAATGAGGCCCCAAGTATTTAGGGAAGTTACTTTATTACTGCTGAAGAGATTTAAGAATGGTGGTGTTAGAGCTTTGTAACCATGATACTGCTGCCTTCTGCTGCATACAAATGAGCAGCCCAGTCCTAGAGCTCTGCTTCTGAGAGTAGCACTTACTTCTGGAATGATGCAGTGATTGTTTGATCAGCCAGGAGGCTGAATTCTACCGTTTTCTGTATGATAAGCAGTTTTAGCAGTGTTAAACCCACACCAAGGACCTAGGGCTGAAATAATCGCTATCCTGTTACAAGTTTCCTGGGTTATCTGCTCCCCAGACTTTTATTGCCATAAATAACTCTAGAAGTCAGGCCTTACTGCCAGAAGTGTTAAGTGCTGCAAATAGTATGGAAGATGACTCATTTAGTGAGATGAAGGTGGAGCATGAATCAGTAGGAGGAAAACTGATATACAAAGGAGAGATGTTTTGAATGAAGATGACACAAAAAATCTGAAAAAGGCAATGATCAAACATCATAAAAATGAAACAAAAGACTTTTTCAAAATAAAAAAACCCAAACTCTTCTATCTAATGACAAAGGCCATTCTAGTGAATGCCCAAAGTGGGAAGGTATTGCGTACTGACCTTACCCAAGATAAACTGTGGACTATATAGGAAGAGATGAATGGAAAATTCTACCCAGTATGTTCAGACTGAACAGAGTGTTCAGCAAGCAGGTTGCTTTCCAGATTTTTCTGTGCCTATACAAGCTGAGAAAAGAACTTACCTTTGAGCTAAATGGTTTTGGAAGATCAAGAGCCCTCATCGTTTCAACAAACCCACACTGAAAGCTAACAGCAATGGGAACGCTAAAATAATAACCTGTGCACATCCCTTGTAAATGATAACTCATGATAAGTGGATAAAATCCCCATAGACTGTTCCATGTGAAACAACAGCTTTTGGTCCTTTTGCTTACCCTCTAGCTCTCACACATAGGAGTGCCTTTAAAGACAGACTTAGAAAAAAGGTACCCGATAGATGATGTCCTACAGTTATTGGTGCGCTAATGAACTGAAGTGTCCAGTGCTGCCTATAATTCAACTCCTGCCACTTCTTGGGAGCAGAGGTGTTTATTAAGAGATTAATGTAACTCTTCAAGGGTGAGGGTCAAACATTTTCATGTTTTAAATCAGCTATGATTCTTTGGATGTTAGGAAAAGGTTCTTCATTGAGAGGGTGGTCAGTCACTGGAACAGATTCCCCAGGGAAGTGGTCATGGCACTAAGCCTGTCAAAGTTCAAGGAACATCTGAACAATGCTCTTATCGTATGGTTTAGTTTTAGGTAATCCTGGGAGGAGCAGGGAGTTGGACTCCATGATCCTTGTGGGGTATTGAGGTATTCTGTGATTCTATACAATAGTTTTGAAAGACTGGAGGCAAAATAGCAGTTACTTTTTTATTTTTGCCTCCCCCCTCCCTAAATGCTGAAATGTAATCATGCAAAGAAGCCTAGATACCTGTATCTTAGGTGGAAGCTCTGGCTCTGCTGGCGTTTTTAGTAAGAGCCACTCCAAAAATTGTAGAGGCTGATTTATCCCATGGTTTATATGGCTCTTCCTTGGCTTTGTTATGCTAGACCTGTAAAATGTTGCTCTCAAAAGTACTGCTCCTCTAGAGCAGTAATGCTTAGAAATGGGTATAACAGGACATCTTAACCTGTAGTGCTTGGAGTTCCTTTGTTCAGGAGAAAGTGAGAGACAGTTAAAAGACTGAAGACTTCTAGCGTAGCTGTTTCACAATTGTGGAAATGTCAGGAAATCCAGAGAAGACAGGTAACACTGCCAAGGCTTAAGGGATGCAGATAGTTCTATGGAGCAGAACTACGCACAGGAAAGGAAAGCTCTTGCAAGGATATCTTTATCTCAAATATTATTATAAAAATAATCTCAAACCTTGTTGTACTTGTCTTTCATAATGTTGTGAGGTCTGTGACCTTATTTCTTTGTCGAAGGTAGTGCTGGACTGAAATTTGGCGTAAAGCTATTCATGCATGTTCCTGGTCAATTCCAAAATTTCAGATGTGAATTTATCTGTGTGTTAATGCTCAAAATCCAGAGCTGCATGTTGTAATTAGGAATATGCCTGGCTAATAAACTTCTCCTGCATCTGTGTTCAGTGCATTTAGTCCCTCTATTCGTATGTAATCTGCTGGATTTGAGCTTTAGTGGAATAAATTATCCTTACAGGAGGTAGCACTGGCCACATTTTCTATTGCTACTAAGGGAGAGCTAATAGTTAACAGCTAGTGACAGATTTATGTTTTCACTTGTAGGTTACTCAGCAGTGGGCCCAGCTCAAATGTAAAAGATCGCTTGGAAACATTAGCTTTGTTAGTGAAAAGTATGAGGTTCACTTTTAAAAGCTGTACTGATTTTAAGACCAAAAAAAAAAGTGCTTTCCTCCTGTTGGAAGGATAGAAATTCTCTAAGGAGAAATAGCACAGGCTGAGTTTCTGTCAATAAAAAGAGTATGTGTAATTTAATACCAGACAGCTTTTTAATACAGGAAGAGAGAAAGAACAGACACTTGCCTATCTTATGAAGCGGAAATAGACAAAAACCTGCCTACAGTATGTTACTTAAATTTAGCCAGAGAAGGGATAATCCTCTCAGATACTCAAAAATCTGTCTGAGGGAAGTAAGTAAAGGCCATGGAGAAGCTGGGCTCAGAGACCCTCCAGCCTCATTTTGCAAAGTGCTGGCAATAGGAAACATGTTGGGCAGCACCAGTGGCCAGACTGTAAGGTGGCACTTGCTTATTTAATCCTTCTTATGGTGGTTTCTGTCTGATCGTCGATAATATATGTGGCTGAGGTTAGAGATGTGTGAATGGCTTGCCTCAAATGACAAAGCTACTCAGAATCATCCTTGGTTTGAGTTTGAATTGTTCCTCTGTTCACGTGGAGGAGGGATCATGCTTTGGACAAGATGTATCCACAAACGCGTTAAACTTCTTGCAGACTCCCTGCAGACCTCCTACTTCCTGATGTTTGTACTCAAAACCCTATCTGGAAGAGGTATCTGATCCTGAACACAACAGTTGACAACAAAAGAATAAACTTGACTTCGGAAGCCAAAATAAATCTCAGGTTATCATTTGGAATGAAAAGAAAATGCACGCTAGCTTCTTAATCAAATACCAGTTCTATAATTTTTTGGTAATGGTTTCCTAGTCTGAGATCAAATGTGAATTGTAGATTTCTCAGGAGTGTGAGTATTTAAGATTTCTGAGGTCTTAATTTAAGTGCAATTATAAGCCTTAACAGCAGTATTTCTTCTAGTTTCGTGGACTTGAGAAACAAGTTTTTGGCATGTAACTTCCAGTGAGTTTTTCAAAGAGCAAGTTCTTACTACTGTTGCTGTCTCCTTTGTCCCCATTTGAAACAAAACCAGAAGCTGTGAACAACTGAAAACTGATGCCAGCTTCTGTTCTATTAACGTCCCTGTAATATGGATCTCTTGTTTAACAACTTACTTCTGAAGTCTTAGAGGAGATACGGTTGGATGATTTGCATGTGCAGAAACTGAATCTCAGGATGTTTACAGCAGAATCAGAGCTGTAGCAGGGGTCCTGTCTCATGTAATGACACTTACCTTGTTGTCGTACACTTCTCCAGTCCTGGCAGTTGTACTTTGGCTCTTGATTATTCCCTGCATCCTCAGCTCCTCAAGAATGTCTGATGATTTTTGCCTCTCTCTTTCCTCTAAGGGCCATGATTTACTGATGAACTCGCTGGTGAGTAGCACATCTTCAAAAGATGAAAACATTAAAAGTTAATACTTGTGGAGCACTTGGCATTCAAACAAAACTTTGTGATGTATTTCCAGCGCCAGAGTTTTTATTTAAGAGGTTGCATACTGAGAACATCCAGTGGAGAAGGCCTGCTCGAGGCTCTCTGCTTAAACTTTGCAGTAACGTTTTTAGTGGCTTGAAATACAGTGCAGGCACCTAATTCAGTTTCTCACTGTAGTCAGTTACACCCAGAGAAGCACATTCAGGAAAGTATGGAAGCATGTGCTTGAAGGCCTGTGAAGCCAATTTTTAGCATGTTTTCAAAGAGGGCTCCATAGGGAGCTCTTTACAATTCAAGTTCTCAAGGGTTCTGTGATCTGGTCAGAGCGTGCCAGGCTGGGACAGGATAATATGAGCCTACTAATGGCCTGTCTTGTGAAGATCACTGGCGTGTTCTGTGAAATGAACCCAAACTTTCATATGCTTTTGTGGTCTACGATTTTTGATATAACAGCATCGCTACATTTGAGTTTCACCATAAGCATTCCAACAATTATATACTTAGATGCAGCAATTAAGAATAAACCCCAAATTATTTTGATAGCCTTTCCGAGTGGCTGTTCAGTTTCCACATATTAGACGGGAATAAACAACGAACAACTTTATTGCCAAGACCTATCAGGTTTTTCAACCCTCAGTTGACAGTTCTACCATCTGCCCAACCTCTATTGGCAGAAGTTAGAGCTTTTGTTTGAAGAATGCTTAGACTGAACCAAAATTGCAGTTATTTGACATCTGCCAGTCTTTATAAGCAAAGTGAGTATGACAACGTTGGCTTGTTGTGTTTTTTTTTTCAGTTGTAAGACAAAAATACAGAACATCTACCACCTTGTAGAAACTGACTTTATACCTCTCCTAAAATAACTGCACCAGTCACCCAAAAAGCACTGGAGTTCAGCTGTCAGTCAGCACACATAAATGTCAGAGCCATTATACAGCAAAACATCTTGGCAAAAAATAAAAGCATGATGAGTGGGCAAAGTTGACAAGTGATGTGAATTTGTATTGGGTTTACTAATCTATTCATTCAGGAGAAAAATGTAGTTGAAATATCTTGGTATGGTATGGTTTTTGTCTTGAAACAGATGATTGAATCATGATTTCAAAAACTTTGTTTAGAAATTTCCTGTGAAGTTATCTTTTAGCAAGTGGGAGGAAAAGGAGCTTGAAATTAAATGAAACACTATTTCAAAGCAAGCAAATAATTTTGTTCAATCTGAAATGAAATCTTTTCATCATGTCTTTTTGTGGCATTGGGAGTTAAGTCCTCTTTAATGAATAGCAAACACCAGTAATTATTTCTTTTGTGTTCAATTTGAAATATTTTATTACAACCCTTGTTTATTACAAAGAGTAAACAACCACTGTAGATTTTCCATTTAGTGTGTTTGAAATGTAAGCTGTTCATGGCACTTGAAAAATACAGGAGTTAAACTACAAAATTAGAAGGTTTAAACGTGCCAAAGATGGTGCTGCTTTTTCTTTAGCAACTCTTACTACAATGGTATCCTAAGATTATAGAAAGGTTTGGGTTTAAGTATTCACTTGTACTTAAAAAAACTTCTTAGCAGACTTTTGCTTATTGTCATAATGATTTCTGGAATTTTTATAGTTTTCTCTATATGATAACTGGCCCTGCAACTTTCGGTTGCAAACTTAAGGAATAACATGGTGTTTACTTGCTGTCTTTACCTGATGCTATTCAGGGATGTTGTGTTGACCATCCTGATGTAAAAACTGGCTCGTTGTAACAGCAGACTGACAGCCCTTGTGTGGGCAACGTGTCTTCCCAGTGTGCTGTAATCCCAGTCAGAGAGGGCTACCCCTGGGGACAAGGCTGAGTTTGTTCTCTTGGTCTGTTCCAGGCATCTGCCTGGTGCCTATTCTGGTAGTGAAGGTTGAGTCATGCTGCAGAACAGCCATCAGCTAAGAAATACTTTCTGCTACTATTGCATAGCTTTAAACTGGTGCTGAGAGCTCAATCCTTGCGGCTTTGTGGCGTGAACGTTTCTGGGTGTAGAAGTTGGCTGTAGCAACAGACTCTCAAGATTATTTGCTCTAAGGTCTCCTTTTGCGGAGCTGGTATGAACTTCAGTTAACTGTTTACCTGTGCTTTGTGCATTGCTGCTTTTCTGAGATGGTGTAAATCTTTCTGGTAGTTCCTCAGGGGAATCTCCCTCACTGATCTCATCTTCGAGTTTGTCTCCATCCTTTGAAGTGCCTGTTCGCCAAGCTGCCCCATCCTGCGAGGGAACAACCTCTCTTCCAGCAATGCTGTCAATTTTAGTCTAAAAGAAAATGACGAAACAAATGAGAAGATCCTTGGGCTTCTAAACATTTAAGGTGATATCTAGAACAGACCAATAGAATTGGCAGGTTCTGAGTGGAGTGGAAGGCAGGTGTTCCTGATACTTAGAATCTGAGGTCAGTCACAAGTGGATGTTGATGGTGAGGAAAGGTCTCTTGGAGTATTTTGGAAAGGAAGCAATGACCTTGAGCCTAAATACGTCCATAATCCAGTTGACTACTTTCAAGTATTATTTCAGTACTTTAAGTGCCTTCTGTATGTGGATCATTGGTTAGAAATTTAAAACTGAGTTTAAGATTAGCACTTCATAAGGTGTTAACCTGTGCACCTTCTAAACAGTAGCTTTAAACCTCCAAAGAATGCAGGATTAGAGCATAGATTTGTTCTCATCTCTCCTCTATATGTTTGGGCTTGAGCCAACTCAACTCTGCAAAGTTCACAGAGTGGTGTTCACCTGTGTCCTGCAATATTTGCATATATACAAGCCCCCTGTCTCATAATAACTTTTTAAGGCAAAACTCACTTTGTTGCAGTGTTGTAATTCAGCACTGGTGTGGGAGACAAGTGTTTTTAATTGTATCTTTAACAAGGCAAGTGAGGCGTACTGTGAAAAGCCACTTTTCAGATGCTGTAAAATCAGGCCATGAACGTGGCCAAGTGGTGAGTTTGCTCCCTGTAGCATGAGGGTTGTATTAAGCTGAGTGAGTGACAGCCCTTCTCTTAAAGAGCTCCCTGACAGATTCAGAACTACTGCTAACATCAGCAAAACCATGTCTCTGTATGTGTATGTCCTTCTATACTCATGTGCTAAGACATCTCCTAACATACTTCATACAGAGCCTGTTCAGAAGAAGTCACTACCTGGCTTTTGGCTTCCTGGTGGTTCTGTAGCTCCTCAGAAGACAGCTGTGCGACAGCGACCCTGCTAGAAACATTGCAGCCCATGGTGAAACTGTGACCATCTGCTTCTCCTTGCTGCAAGTCCAGGGAGTAGAAGTGCCCTAGTCGCTTCCTTGGGAGCTTGGTTATTCATTATTACCATGGAGTCTAACTGTTGCCAGGGCCTGTTGCTACAATAAATAACACTACAGAAGGATTTCTTCTTATGTCCTGGCATACAGGCGGCGGCGTCTTTCTCCAGGCACCCTCCTCTGAAGTTGAGAAGGAATATGTTCTCTCTGCGTGGCTGGGATGTTGGTCTGAGAGCAGCAAATCTGTACAGGTCATTCAGGGGGTTAGTGAACCTCCTGTGGGAACTCCAACGAAGACACTTGAGTATTTCCAGCCTTTTTCCCCTTTTCTATTTTTATTTATTTATTTTAGATGAACAAGATACTGTCATGTAAAATACATGCACATTTCAGTCTTTGGTTGGATTTCTTAAGTATTCTTCAGCACCATTAGCCACCGGAAAAGATCGGTCCTGAATCTGAAATTCCAAGCAGCAAGGCAAGCTTTTAAATGTGAGGATATATCATCAGGAGACAGAGAGGCTGTGACTAGGGAAAACGTTTTAAGTGTCCTTTGAGATCATTGTACAATTTCTTGATTACTGTTTGAATCTGTTCACGTTCTTAGAAGTAGATGTCTGTAGGAGGTTTGAAAAAAGCAGCCATGGTTTATATTTCCAAGAGGTTGTTAAAAAGATAGCAGAGGAAACATTAAGGCAGTGCTGTCAGTTGAAGATCATGTCTTGGGTCACTTGTGCTGAGATCATCAGCTGTTATAGTTAGAAGAAATATTTTTTTTTTGCACAAATCTTCACATGAAACAGACTCATTGTATGAAATCAAAAGATTCAAAAACCCCAAGTAATTACTAATACCTACAAGGAATTATTATTCCTTGAGGTCCTGAGACCCTTGTAACAAATGAATGTCAGCTTGCGACTTTACCCTAAATCGTAGTGGAAAACTTTCTGTAAAACTTGTCCAGTTTCTTTTCCATGTATGTGAAACGGAGATGTGTACATGACTAATGTCTCTTTCAAGTAGTGAGGCTGGTGGACTTTCAGAATCAAACGAACCCCAACACTGAGACAGAGAGACTCCAGCCTAAGAGATCACTCTGGATGGATGGCTGCAGGGAGCCCTCTGTGTTGCTCTTGTCTCCAGTCCAAACCCTCAGCTGGTCTGGCTGGAAAGCTGAATAAACTCACTTGCATGGCAGTGAGCCTAAAGCGATCTTCCCCGCCTCCATGTGCCGTATTTGACTGCGCAGAGCACGGCAGTGAGGTTACTGTATGGTTTCCAGGTTGCAGGTAGCATCTCTACTCAGCTCGGAGCGCAAGTGTGCGACTGTTTGTACCTTCCTGTGCCGGCATCCTAGAGCTGCATCTACTGTCTCTTGAGAAACAAGCATCTTTGGAGAAATTCTGTTGTTTTTTCATCCCTAATCAACAGTGACCTGATTCTTGTGTCCAGTTTGAACTCACACAGAATGCAAGTCAAATAACCTTTTGGTATGTGGGTTTGTTGTTCTTGTAGCTGTTCTATTTTCTCTCTCTTCAGCAGATGTTTGCAGGTTGTGTGTGGCAATGCTGAAATGTGATTGCTGCTTGACGTATGGCAGAACATGATGTGCAGGCTGAGCTGCTTGTTTGCATTTCTGATTAAACACTTGCTGTGGTGGTGCAGTTCTAAAACTTGTTTATAAGTAAATAATAAACTTTAATCCTTGCCAAAAGGTGATTTTTATTTGTTCCTTCAAACACAAATAAGGTGATAAAACAAAAACTGAATGTCAGTTATCAAAGTAAGAACACTTATTAAATGTAAAATCATAGGCTGTAGCGTAATCAAAAATCAGGTAAGCTTTATGATTTATGCTTTACGAATTGATTATTGGCACGTAAAAAGAAAGACAAGTGATAGCTTGAAGAAATAAGAGTCCATGGGATGTAACAAGTGGCATGAAATGTGCCCTCATTCATATTTATGAAAAGAACCTTCTCGGATCTCAACAGAATTTGTACACTTATAGCCTGATCTTTTAATATCTTACGCAGATGATTCAATTGGCATGGTGAACAGTATGTTTTTGAACAATCAGAGCTACAGGCTTTCAAGAGCATACTGCTCTCATAGTGATGCTGACGATAGAAAATCTTCCTCTCATTTTAGCAGCTTTTCATCAATCTGTAAAATTAAAAACGAGCAAGTTTCAGTACAGTCAAGGCAGTAGGGTGTACATCACTGGCTGAAAACGAGAGGATAATTCTTCATAAATACAAATAGAGGGTATTTCCCCTAGAGAAAACCCATGGAACAGAGCCTATGGTGAAGCACAACATTGAAGCTGGAGAGAAGGAAACTGTGAGAAGGCTAATAATGGTGGGAAGTAGAAAAAGTACAGGTCTCTTTATGCCTTGTCTTGTGAGAATGAAAACAAAAGGCAGTCACAGGGATGTGCATGCTGGGAGGAAATCACTACAAAATCAGAAACAACTGTTTCTATATTTGCTGGTGTTATGTGGAGGAAATTGGGATGTATGTATATCTTAAAATGAGGAGAGTAGTTTTCAAAACTCCCAAATCTGAAGCTGTTTGGTGGCTTGCAGGATGATTAGGAAAACTGAATGGGAGGCAGGACGTTTCGGTGTCTATAGCCTTATCCACTGTCTCTGATTTATGCTCCTAGATTAGTGAGCTACTGCAGAGAGGTGAGAAAAGGACTCTCCGTGGAACAGCATTCCTGATAAACAGCAACACTTTGCTAGTCTCAGTAAGCAAAAGATTCCTACGTAGCATCACCAGCCTGACATGTACGGAGATAAAAAGCACTCCCCTAAGGCTTGGAGGCTGGCTGAAGTTTTTAACAAACCAAAGCTTGGCTGACTTGAAGGAGAGAGGCAAACTTATGACATTTTCAGTCTGACAACATTCCTACTGACTTCAAACAATAGAAGGCATCAGGGTGGATTTTCCAGGGATACTGAGCAGCCACGTTTTTCTTTGAAAATAGGACTGAATAGTCGGGCAGCTACAGAGGAATTGCCCTGACTGTTAGAGAGCACAAGTAGCTGTTTGGGAGAGAGTTTGAGGCCAAAAGGACTCCGAAAGACAGCAGCCCATACCGTGCCTGAAAATGGAAAAGGGTGCCTGTTTTCCATTGTTCTCTGGTGACTCTCTCCTGGGGTGCTGTCGCAGTCCTGAGGAGGAAGCTGTCTGCTAGAGATGTGGGTGATGGAGTGCAGGGGAAAAATCCCCCCCAAGGAGGTGGGGGCTGCAGCTGGGGTTGAGTCTGGAGGCTGGTGGTGGCAGAAGATGAAAACCGAGCTGGGTTGTGGAGCGGGCAGAGGGAAGGGCAAGGGAGAGAGATGAGGAGGTGGGCTTGGCTGGATAAGGTGACTGGAAACCAGAGGTGTTGGACATGGACCAAACCAGAATATTTGCAACTGAAGTCAAAGCCTCTATGGACCGTGCAAGAACTGCTGCGCTTCAAAGACTGACTGCTTAGCTAAATGCAAGTAGACTTTCACAGACAGGCACTATATGATGTTTCTTTCCCTGGGGTTTTCTTCTATTCCCAATTTGAAATCTTACCTGCATGATAATTGATGATTTTGTCAGGGCTTCCATCGCTGGCTCTTCCACGTCAGGCTCTAGATACCCCCCAGATGGGCTAAACAGCTAGCGGAGCTGGCCTTTGTGGAGCCTGAGTTTTGACATACAGCTTAATATTTGTAAGACTGGAAAGGGGAAGACGGCTAGAAGGGGAGCCACTGGCTGGGTGGCTGTAGTCAATGGAAAATGGACTCTTGGTTGTGCTTCACTAAACCAGCTCCGTGGCTGGCTCTTCTGCATGTGTTGTATTTCAGTGCTGCATGTGATCCAAATGCCATACGTAATCTCTCCATGGTGACTGCATTTGTTTCTATTTAAGGAGAGAAAGAGATTTGGGGTTTCTGCCAGATTTCTCACCCAGGTAATTACACTTCTGCCTGCAGAATTTCCTCGTAGCTTCAATTGTAGTAGTCTTTCTTCACTCCCACCACTAAAAAGTGCAAATGCGGACCTGCTGCTGTGTTTTGGGAACGCAGCAGTGGTTGCTCTGCTGAGGCGAGCGACGTGACCCTGCCATGCATCATTTATGGTAGATGTGTCCCTACTAAAGACTGCCGCATCCGATTGTGCTACTCTGGAGCTCTCATCTTTCTGTGCCTGGCTTTGGCATAACAAGTTGGTCTTGCTAGTGGTACTGCTAGATGATAGTGAGACAGCCAGCTGGAAGCCAATGAAAAGATGATTAAGAGCCAAGAGAAAGCCATATGGAGAGAGAGGGATTTCTCTTTACAGAGTTATAAGTAAAAGTGTTTATGTCTTTGGATCCCACTAGCTGTTTTTCCCTTCTTTGCATCAGTTTTATGGGTGGGAAGTGGTTGCAGTTGATTAGCAAATTCTGTCAAATCTCTTTAGCTAGAACAAATGTTGTAAACAGTAGCTATTTCAGGCAGCGCTCTCAGTACTAAAAATCAACAGGCTGATATTGTAATGTTAATAACAAACATTTCGTAGTTATTGGGCTAATTTTAACTACAATATTACATATGATACCAAGGAGATATACTCTTGTTTTGCAAAATATTATATATTAAATGAAGGGTCTCTTGTTTCAAATTTAGATGATGTGGTGATATTTTTTTTTCCTGAACTTATGACAGCAGAGCTAATAAAGTCCATCTCAGTCTGGAAAACACTTCTGCAGGTGCTTAGTTCTCTCTGAAGTCAAAGTAAAAGCAGGCTTTGTTCACTGAGAGCCTTATAGAGAGATTTAAAACAGAAGATGTCCAACACTAATAAGTTAAAACTCATCGTACGTAGTGTAGATAGTAAACAGACCCAAGACAGTTGAAACAAATGATTGATTCATGGAATTTAGTCTTTTTCTTCACAGAATGTTCACATGCAGATTGTGTTGTTATTGAATACAGTTCTTATTCAGAT